TCCACTCTCTTTGAAATAAAGTACAACCTCACAAAGAAAGTGCAAAGATTGGTCTCCCTGATGATTCCATACTCAGTCCATTCTCTCTATCTGTCTCCATGGCCATGTCCTTAGTTTCCTTCTCAACCAAAGTCCACTTTACTCAGATGTGAATATTGAGCTTTCAGCCCTCTACGCCAAATTCTTCTCGGTAATGATCATCTAACTCTCTGGTGTTCACTTCAGGTGGCGCCCTCATCTGAGATATAAGACCCTCAGTGCAGGAGGAGGCAAGTGTCATGGCAGATAAGGAGCACCTGCCTTGCACAAGGACAGCTGTCTTGAAAGAGCTCAGTAAGCATCAGGGGTGCATTGTTCTTGACACACATATGATAACATATACTGGTGAACACCTTTTCTTCCCACTGGCCTTCTACTTCTCCATGGGTTACCACAATCTCTGAAAGACTTATCCCATGGCTCATTTTTTGTTCACCTGCACAACTCCTACAGATACCAGAGCATGAACCCAGCTCCAGTGAAGATTTTGTAAGGATAGTTTGAAACCTCTGTTTAGTCCCACATACCTTCACACTCTTTCCTTGTTGTTATCTAGTAGGGAATATGCTTTTCATGACATCTCTCTCTCTCATTCTTCTAATATTTGTAAAGATTTTCTATTTTCAAGTGACTGTAATAATAATTACATAACGTCTCTTCTGTATTCCTATATAATATCTTTGGACAAATATCAGTACATACATGATACCTACATGGGGGTTATTATATATAATGGGTATTTGTGAAGCATATTATTCTTATGCAAGTTTTGTAAAATTCATAGGTTTTCTCTTATTTTAATTAATAGTGGTCTCCTCCTACTTTGATTTCACTTGATTACTTATTTTCTCCTTCCTGCCCATAGTACAAACTATACCAAGTATGATTTCCTTTTCTTTGTAGTATAAACCTGGGAGCTAATGGTTTTAAACAATCTTATTTTACTTGAATACTTTTTTACAAAATGGGAGAAACTTTACCTCCCAGCAAGAGTATCATCACTGGATATGTAAAAAGCAACAATAACAGTAGAAATATTCAGCTCTTTCTAGACTTTATCCCATTCCTGAACTCCCTTGTCCAAGACTACTATCTTGATTTGATGAACTTCTTGTGTGGAAGAGTTTATTATAGTAAAGTCATAAAAAAATGAATTCTGTTTGTAAAGTAAACAAAAAGAAGACAGATTCAAGGTGCAAAGGCAGAATGGCAGAATTCCCCTTGTCTAAGCTGCCAGCTTTATTAATATTAATAGGTTACATTGGGTCACTGGCATCAGTTCACTAGTTCATTGTGTCATTAGGCAGGTTACATAGTTAGCAACACTATGCAGCTTATTCCTCAGTTATATACTACATTTGCTGTGTGAAATGTTAGGAGCTTTGTGTAGCTCTCAAGAAAGTCTGTTGTTTAAAGTTGCTGTTATGTAGACAGGTTAAGGTGCAGCAAAACTTGGTGAAACATTGCATCTGTGAAACAAGAGAATTTCTTTATTCCCAGAAGTTGTATGCCTGAGATCAAGGTCAAGGCTAATAAGACTCTAATACAGAGCCTCCTAATGCTGGGCATTTGTATAGCAGCCAGGCATTTCCTATTTGCCAGGCATTCTGTGTCTGCACAGAAACTTCCTTAGCCACCAAGCATGCCACACTCATGAAGCTGTTAGAGACCCCAATCCAAAACACATAAACCTTACACCTGTTGTCTCTGGTTTTCTTTTCAAAGAAAAAGTTGATTTGCCTCTCATGCTGACTCATTTTATGTCATAGAAAAAATTCAAAGGAAAACATGCAGATTTATGGCTTAGATCTGCAGCCTCTCTGTTGATCCACCTGTGTGTAACTTTTTAGAATACAAGATAAAATAATAATAGCTGCATTGAAACAGTGCACAGAAAACAATACCACCTACCATTACAAATAATCAAAATGAGTATTTCCTTTATAATTTTTAAAGCAAAAACAGCAGTTTACATCTAACCACATGAACTCACAGCCTTTTAAAAAAATCAACACCACAACTTCGAGTTTTACATGAGGTTCATTACTTTAATTAGGTAAAATCTTCCAATGTATCTCTTCAGTCTCACAACCATGAAGGCTACAGAATGGTAAATCACCATGGAAATGCAGAAACTGATGGTTATTTAGACTGTATTCCCTCATTCTTGATACTGGTATGGAATACTATGAAGAAATCTTTCTCAAAGGAGAACTTGGGGAAGGAAAAAGAGGAAGGCAGGAGAATACAGTAATGAACAATGTCATACTTTTACATGAGGTGTTAAACTGTCCAGAAAGGGTGTCCTCAAAATAATCCATCTTCTGAAATGGTGCAGAGTCAACTGCGGTTTGACAATTTCTGCCCTGACCTCTCACCTCTGACTCCCACCAGGGTGAAGGCAAATGAGCATGACTACACTCTGAGTTTCCTCTGGGTTGTGGACAGAGACTTGTCTTTATCAGGCTGTGCCTGATTTATACTAGAGGGCTCTGGAGGCTGTACCTGGTGGACCTGCAGGTTCATTTTCAACTGGAATTACTCAGGTTTAAGCCATTTTTAGGTTAAGGCCATGCTTACAGCTAGCCTGGACCACATCAGGGAGTACCCACAGACATCCTCATTAGGACTTGCTGCCAGGTGACATAGCACATTGGGGGCACAGGTAACACCTTAGGCATTAACCCCAAACCACATCAGGAGGCAGAAAAATACATTTGACTTTTTCATTCTTATCTACTGATGCTGGACCCTGCCTTACTTGGAGACTCCCATGTTGGGTGGAAAATTCCTTGACACAGGAAAGACTATTATTCTGAGGCCAACTAAACTACACCTCAGCTACAAGCAAAACCTAACACATATTACCTATCTTTATATGTGTGTATGCAATATCCCTAACATATTCTATTACCCCTGAAGAGTCCTGCTTGCCTCCCTCACCAGAGTTTTTGAGAATTCAGAGAAAGGGAACATGATGGAGATTTAGAGACTGCTCTGTAGCTCTGGGTTTGGGTGTTACCTGTCGGGCTGGGACAGTCTACCCATTGCTTTATTTAGTGAATCATATCTATGGAAAATCATTTGTCCTCCTGCCTCCTAAACCACTTGAGTTGGCGAGATTATTGGTGTGTGCCACCACACCCAGCAAAAGAGTATAATTTATAGGCACACATATAAATATTTCCATCATCAGAAAATAGAATTGCAATCAATTAGAATGAAATAGGAATCCAATCTCCTTGGTGAAGAAAGTGGCTGGGGCTCGAACTGGGCTTGATCCTCAGCAGCACATAAAAATTAATGAATAGTTACCTGGGGATATACTTCTGTTATTAGAGTGCTCTTCTCACATGGATTCAATCACCAGATAAATAAATAGATAAATAAATAAATTATATTGTCCATATAAATCTTAAAAAAAATTAAACAAATCAATACAAGTGGGGCATGTGAGCCTACACCTATAATCCCAGGGGCTCTGGAGACTGACTCATGAATATCAAGGGATTAAAGCCAGCCTCAGCAAGAGCAGGTGCTAAGTAAGTCAGTGAGACCCTGTCTCTAAATAAAATACAAAACAGGGCTAGGGATGTGGCTCAGTGGTAGAGTACTTCTGATTTCAATACCTGGTACTGAAAATGAAAGGAATTTGAAAATGACATAAACCAAAATGGAAATCCTAATATTCAGTATAAAGGCAAAACCACACTGAGAGGCAAAATCAAAGGCCTAAGTTGGTTCATGAGAAAAGACAGGATAGAAATTGTTCCTGAATACACACAGGTGAGGAGGGAAGGTGCTGTTTCTTAGGCCAGTGAGGGACTTA